AGGAGCATCCTGGTGGCCAGGTGGATAATCTCCCTCCCAAGGGTATTCAGTTCTGAGTTCTCACCTCCAACCTTTCCCTCTGGCCCCAAAAATCTCTGTAGGCAAAGGCCAGTCCGGGTCATCAGCTCCCAAACTGCATTTCAAACACCCTATCTGCTGGCCCTGGGGGCCTGGTGTTTTCCTGCCATCCCCAGGCTTCCCTAGACCTCTCTTCACCCTTGGGATTCAGGATGTGTGCCATCTCCTCAGCAGGCCTTTCCTCTCTCCGGCCTGGTCCGCTCCTGCCCTGCACCCCTGATGCTGAGTTCTGCCAGAGAAAAATCACACAAGCAGGTTGGCTCTGCAGATTCAAACCCACAAACCTCAAAGGTCATGCAACACTGCCACAGGAGGCTACTCCACTTCCCTAACGCCAGGCTTTCTCAACCTGTGAGACAGCCACCCCGCACTTCTCTTTTCAACTTCAACATCCATCTCCCATCTCTCCTCCTTCCCCTGGAACCCAGTTCTTGGTCCTAATTGGACCTGCAGGGTCCCAGCTGACCACTGCTGACCCTCCACGGACTTCTCCTCCTGATTCCATCCCTCCCCGGTCTCCTCAAATTCCTCCTGGGCCAAGGTAACAGGAACTTACCCTTTAGTTCTTTTCTTGTGGTTTCAGCATCCAACCTTTACTAAGTCCAGTCCTTTTTACCTCCAAAGCTCACCCCTCTCTCCACCCTCACTGCCACCAACCCAAGATAAACCACCCACACCTCCTGCCACCTCTGGCAACCACCTCTGGCAGGGGCTTATCAGGTATGTCTATGCCACCTGCAACTCACTCTTCACACACTGGCCAGAAACACACACAGTCATATTTACACTTTTCAGTTCTGGAGACTGAGCCCAGGAAGTGCTGAGCTACATCCCCAGCCCTTTTTTAAAATTGAGACAGGGTCTCACTAAACTCCCCAGACCAGTCTCAAACTTGCAGAATGTGCAGTCCTCCTGCCTCTGCCTCCTGAGTAGCTGAACTGCAGGCATGAGCCTCCACACCTGGCCCAAAATATATATATATATATATATATTGGTACTGGGGATCGAACTCAGGTTCTTGTGCTTTCGAGACAGGTGGCAGAACCACTGAGCTAAATCCCCAGCCCCCAAAATATATTTTAAAAGTCAGCTTCTGCTTCCAACCCTTTGAGGCTTCCAAGAGGTAGGTAAGAACACGGACTCCTGCACAGCCTTCAAACCCTGTCTCACCTCTGCCTCTGCACGGAAGGAGGATGGCGGAGGGCCAGGGAGCTCGGTGCTGAAGCTGGGACTGGTACTGTACAAGGAGTCCCTGGGGACAGAGTGACTTCAGGGGATATGCCTGACTTGGAGAGGGTGGGGCGTGTGTGATTAGTTCAACTTCCAAAAGCAGTATGTGAATATAGATTCAAAAAACACAAGGGAGTAACGGTGCAGCCTCCCTCATCTGTTTCCAGCAGCCCCATTCTCCCAGTTCCTTTCACATCCCTGCAGAATCCCTACCTCTGCATATCTCCCACACAGAGCCACATACATACAGGACACAAGGATCCTTCGTCTTTTTTCCTCACTCATCAGAGGCTGCAGGTCTGCCCCATCAGCACCTTGTGCACATGAGCAGTCTCCCGTGCTATAAACACATCTGTTTTTCCCCACATCAGATCCCAGACCCACCAAGCCCTCTCTTGCTCAGGGTCTCCATGTCTGCTGCTCCTACCAGAAATACTTTTTTTCTGGTTCTCTGCAATGGCTTGCTCTTTCCTCTTCTTGGTTCATCACTCAAATGTCACCTTTTGGAGTGGCCTACCCTGACCACGCTACCTAAAAGGATCCCCTCAGCGCCAGATGCAGCAGTGCACGCCTGTATCCCAGCTCCTTTGGAGGCGAGGTGAGAGAATCATTTCAATACAGAGTCTGAGGCCAGCATGCGCATCACAGTGAGATGCCCATGGCAAATAAATATAGAAAACGGCCCCCCTCAGTTTTTCTTCTTTCATCTCTGCTTTGGTCCTTTGCAGTATTTCTTCCAACAAATCATCAGGTTTAAATGTTGACAAGTTTATTGTTCATCTATAAGCTCCAGAAAAGTAATGGCTTTTCTGTTCTAAGTGCACACTTCTATACGCAGGACCTCAAAGGCACTCAGAATGATCAATGAAAATTTTCTAAATGAATCATGTTATTGACTGATGGCTCAACAATGAATGTATTGCCAGGCATGTCCCAGGTACTTGGCACATGTTATTATATTATATTATATATATATATATCTCAGTCCTCCCAATACCTTACAGATGAGGGACAGGTACAGTATTAGAAAGTAATAGGGGGCCAGGGATTTAGCTCAGTGGTTCCGTCACTTGCCTTGCAAGCACAAGGACCCGAGTTCAATCCCTGGTACCAAAAAAAAAAAAAGAAAGAAAGTAATAGTAACCCCTGTGTGTGTCTGTGTGTGCCATGGGGATTAAACCCAGGGCCTTCCCACTGAGCTACATCTCCAGTTCTCTTTTTAGTTTTTTAGTTTGAGACAGGGTCTCACTAAATTGCTAAATTCCCCAAGCTGGGATTGAACTTGAAATCCTCCTGCCTCAGCCTCCTAGAGAGCTGAGATTACAAGCAGATGTCCAGCAGAAAGTAATCACTCTTAAGCAATGGACTGCTCCATCAAACCCAGGCCTGATTTTCGGTCTTATATATTATGCAACTGGAAAAGATCAAAGAGAAAATATCCCAAACTGAGTAAAACAAAGTAATTAGAATTATCACACCTTGAACCCAGAGGGATACATCCAGGATTGGGAAAACCCCACTTTATTAATAAGTGTCCAAATGACAACTACACCGAACTGGCAATTACTTCACTCCCTAGACTTCAGTTTTTATGCCTGCAAGTAAAGGATTATATGTATTCAAAGCATGAGATAGATGGAGACAAGTGTGGTGGCACAGGTCTGTAATCCCAGCACTTTGGAGTCTGAGGCAAGAGGACTGTGTTCAGTTTATCATTTTTACAGTATTGTGTATGTTAATTTATCATCCCAATGCTCAAAATTTATACAAGTACCTTTTTTTATCCCACACTCTCTAATTTGAAGCCATATATCTCTACCACATAAATCCTTTTTATTAAAAACAAGTCTTGAGCTGGGGATTTAGCTCAGTGGTTCTGCCACCTGCCTCACAAGTAAAAGGTCCCGAGTTTGATCCCCAGTACCAAAAACAAAAAAAACCCTCAAGTCTTTTTGTAATTTTCTTTTTATTTTTGAGACCAAGTCTGACTAAGCAATCTAGGATAGCCCTGAACTTGTGATGCCTCAGCCTATGGAGTGCTAGGATTACAGCCATGCACCACCACACCCAGCTTCTTGTAAATTTTTTCTCTTCTTAAATTATCTTATTATCACAGATATTAAATACCTAGTATTTACTTATAAAATTATTTTATCTTATCCCCGGTACCAAAAAAAAAAAAAATTATTTTATCTTAAAATTATTTCATATTAGGGCCGGGGATTTAGCTCAGTGGTTTCACCGCCTGCTGCACAAGCGCAAGGACCCGAGTTCAATCCCTGGTACAAAAAAAAAAATAAATAAAAAATAAAAAAAATAAAATTATTTCATATTATTCATGGATTCCTAAAACCACATTCTTCCTATTTATTTTTTTTAGCATGTTTCAAAAACAAAACGTTTTCAAAATAAATAAAATTCTTGGGGCAGGGAGTGTAACTCAAGGATAGAGTGCTTGAGGCCATGGGTACAACCTCCAGCACAAACAAAAAACAAAAAATAAAAATCTTTCCCTCTGCCAGACAAAACACCAAGTTCCTGGTGAGTGCAGAGATATGTAATTATCACTGATGAACAGTAACAGAACCTTGTACAATGAACAATGCACTTGCTTCTATCAGCTATATAGAGAGCTGAAAGTACTTTCATAAAAAGTATTGTTTTCGGGTTTTCTTAGGCAGAGATCAGAAACAATGATTAACAGAAAAACGGTGTAATTCAGAGAACAAAGCAAGGTGGAGACCCCCCAAAAGGCATTAAAGCTCAAGCTGGGGCTGGGGATTTAGCTCAGTGGCACCGCATCTGCCTCGCAAGCACAAGGTCCTGAGTTTGATGCCCGGTACCAAAAAAAAAAATTCTTGATACACAGCCTGTTCTGCAGGAAACATTTAACAAATGGGAAAGAGTTCAAGCTCCAAGGCAGCGTACCATTCCCTTCAATAACAACATCTATTTTACAACTATGAAAGTTTGTGCAAAGATGAATAAGATGCAGTGGACAAAGAAGAAGCAATTAAGAATCTGCTTTTGCTCACCCCGGGAACTGTTCTCCATAAAAACACTTCCATAAATTATAAGAGACCGCCTAAGATCTCATATTTCAAGAAACATCAAAATATGAACACATTCCCATTATCGCCTGTCAACATTAAGACTAAACAGACCACACTCTGCGAGTAAGAGTAATGAGAAAATGATGAACACGTAATACAACCAAATTCCTGGGCTGAAATCCTGGGAGTTAACAAGTAGCAAAGACCAGTTACTTAAATAAAACCCTCCTCCCTCTTGACCTCTGCAGCCCTTCTAAAAAGCCTCCCCATCCCACCCGAAATGTGCCCCTTCACCTAGTCTAAATGATGAGTGCTTTTCTTGTTAAACGTAAACCTTTCAGGTTCCAAGCCCAGCAGATGGGTCATGCGAAGGGCACAAAAGCTCCCGTCGCAGCGCGGGCGCGGACCCGACCGCCGGGTCTCCAAGAGGCCCTTTCCCTGCCTCCTGCCTTCCTCCGGCTGCGGTCCCCGCGGATCCCAGGACGCCGCAGCACTGAGGAGCCCCAGGCCCGGGCGGGGGCGAAGGGAGCGAGCGACCGGCCCTGCCCACGAGCCACACCCACCAGCTGCCTACAGCCCCTCTCCGCATCACCCTCGGGGTCCCCAGAAACCCATCAGATCTGCCCCAGCGCCGCTTACAGTGGTCCCAGGCGGTAGGTGCACCAGCCCCTCGACAGTCCCGCGCTCCGCTGCTAGTCTCTGCAGTCGCCACCTCACTCCCCGAGCTGCGGCCAGCACTTCCGGACGCTCATATTACCGCGCGGGGCATGCCGGGAGTTGTAGTCCCTGGGCGCCCACTCACCTGGGCGCTACCCAGCACCAGCCCGCGAGGGGGGCGGGGG